GAATCCGTTACATTCACTTACATGCTAATACCCTTAGGAAAGGTATGAATCCTCCCAGTTATGGACAGGCTAAGTTCTATAGCCTTGGATGCCAACTGGTCTAGCAGAAGGACAACTCTGAATTCAAAACCTGTGGAGGGTCTTTTGGGGACCTTATTGCACGTAGTGCACCAGGTCTCTGTATTCGGCCCTTCAAAAAGTGGGGATGGTTCTGCACAAAACCTTCACCACTATAATCAAATCATATGCGCAGGTTGTCTGTCTGTTGGTTCCTAGGAACTGAGTAGCCTGACATTGTAAAAGGGTTGTAAAAGGGTCTCCATTAAGCGCAGGTCAACAGCCTGTGTCGATCAATGATGGGAGAGTCCACAAACATTGTTCAGACTGTTGTCCTCATCTTTATTATGATAAACAGTTCCATTTTAAATTCGAATGCATATTACCTGAAGAAGACCGGAGTGTACAATGGCTGAAACATTGTGAATATGACAATAAAGATGAGGACATCAGTTCAAACAATGTAACTAGTGTAAATAGTCAGTATATAATATTTACCTGTTTTTATATACATTAAACATATAGCAGATGTTACCCTTTTTTTCTAGACACTTCTTTTTTATGTGTCGTGTCCCCTCAGGACATAGGTAATCATGGTTCTCCACAACTTCCAGTCCTTTGCAGCTCTTAATAAATTTTACTTTTCTGTTATTTCTCCTAAACCCATGTTATGTTATGCATTGTTTTCCTTTGTCTCTCTTGCCTTCAATATGTCTTGTGAGTATCAGATTTTCCAAGCCCTTTTTTCTCATCATGTGCCCTAGAAACCTCAACTGTCTCTTCCTGATGTTTAGTATATGTTTCTTTTTTGTTTCCATTTTTTCTAAAATTTTGTTGTTACTCACATATTAGGTCCAAGGTTATCCTCAGCATCTTTCTGTAAAACTACATTTCTTGAAGTTTCTTCTTCATCTTTGAGAAGATTGTCCAGCATTCACTGCCATACAGGAGGACAATATCACATAATGGTTTAGCACTGTTTTCATTGTTTCCCGCAAAGTTTTATCTATTTCTTAGTACTTTGCTTAGCTTTTGGAATACTTCCTTGGCTATCCCAATACGCCTTTGGATTTCAGTGTCACACTTTCCATCCTCTTTTAAAACACTTCCCAGATATTTAAATTTCCCCACTTGTTTGATTTTGGTGTCTTCAATTTGAAATTCACACTTTGGGCTCATCATTTTGCTAACAACCATGCATTCTGTCTTCTTGCAGTTGATCCTTTCATCTCACTTTCTTTCACTACCTTCTGTAAGGACATCATCATTATCATCATCATCTCCTTGATTTTTGTAATTGTAGTGGGTATCTGAATACAGAAGCCATATTGAATCTCATCTACAACTGTCCATAATGGTAGCCATCAGCAATTCTGGTATAATCATACTTGTCCATTGTTTGACTTCTCCTACATCCATTTTCAACTGTGCTTTGCATGATGATCTTGCACAGGCTGTCGTGCCTTGTAATGTGTCCAAACCACACCATTTTTCTCTGTTTGACAGTGCCGAGAAGAGTTTCCTGGTGGCTGACAAAACATTCAACACTTTTCTGCACAAACTCATTGGATTTATGTTTTCAATATAAGGACACATACATCAAAAACCTGTCAGCAGCAGTGACCCTTTTCAGCTTTTGGGAATTAATAAAAAACTGGGAGAATGTGCAGCATGAAACCCAAATGGCTTTCACATCATGCCGAGGTTGAGGTAGGATACAAAATTAGCACTCTGGAACAGACAGACATGACATCTGCTCTTTCCCAGAAAGATCCACTCAGTATAGTATAAATCACAAGTTGCCTCTGTGGGTGTTGTAGAAACATTAATGTGACTGAGCAGGCATCTGCAACAGATTAGTTATTTTTTGCAGACAATCACATTCGGAAATGAACAGCCAGCCATTATAACATCAGCCTAGCTTCTTACATTCTTGTATGAAAGAATTTGGTTAACTTCATTCATATTCTTGTCATGACCTTGAAAGCACACCCTAGCAGGTTAAGAAATGTATCCATCTGATCCTGTCTTAATATCAAATAGCTTCACTATAGTTTTGTTACTAGTATGACCAAAATATGTGACCAGTATGCCAAATAGTAAATACAAGAAAAAAATGATGTAAATCGTTCTTAAGTCAATCTCCAATGGTTTCATTTAATTTTATGACATTCTATGAAATATCATTTAATAATAAATAATAAATGTTTACTTATCTCAATTCATACATTATAGTAGAGATAAATTAGTAATAAATTAGTGTGCTATATCTTGCCATTACCTCAAATAAATAACGCACCATTCCATTTTGATTGTGAAGAAGGATCTCAGAAAAAATACAGAGATACTATTTGGTTGTTGTGAGAAAAAGAATGTATCCGTAATAATAAAAAAGAAAGAGAGAAAGTTTATAAGATTGTTGGAGATTTATTTTGAAACAAAAAAATGATGTCATATTTCATTAATAAAAATAATGAAATAAAATTTTTATTAAATTAAAATATTACATTATATGCTCTGCTATTACTTCTGATAAATAATGAACCATTCCATTTTTATTGTAAGATGGAAGAAAAATATACCAGAGATGCTGTTTGTATTTAGTGAGGAAAAGAAAGCATACATAATGAGAAAGAAAGAAAGAAAAAAAGGGGAAAAGAAAAAAGAAAGAAAGAAAGAAAGGAAGGAAAGAAGGAAGGAAGGAAGGAAGGAAGGAAGGAAGGAAGGGAAAATAGAGGAGGCAATAAAGCTCTGATGCATTTTGAATAATGAACTGCTTTCATATTTATAATCATTGTAACATTTTGTTCAAGCTGTTTTTTTTAAATTTAACAAAGCCTTTGGGGAAATTAAGTGTATTTTATGTCAGTTAATTTTTAACAATGAGCTTATTCAATTATTATGGTAAGAATTATTACTCATTCATTCATTCAGTTCTGTTGTGGTCACCACTCCCCTCCATTTCACAATTCTGCTTCATGGTGACATTCAAGTGCAATGGTATGCTTGTTCCTTTTACACTGGGGATGTTCAGGTTACCCTGTCCCTCCTCTCAGAAGTTAAAGAGGCAAGACCTACAAGACAGCAGGTGGTTTGAATTCAAAGTTTTCCTTCTCCTAGACTGAAAACCACATAGCTCATTATGGAGGCCATGAATTGTCCAGACTACATGTTTTTTTTTCTTGGCTGTACCAACAAGATCCAGACGAATACACAGCATTACATTTGGGATGGCTTGGCTGCAGGAGTTGTGGCAAAATTGTTAGTGTTGACAGCCAACTGCCTTTGAGGTTTCACTCCGGGGTTTTCTGTTTGGATTTACACCCATAGCCATGTTTTGAATATGACTGCAAGGCAGCTGAGGTTTAAAATCAGGGTTTTCCTTCCTCAAGAAGTGATGAGTTTTTTCCTTCCTTGATTCATATGAATTCACTTGAGTGAATTCCATCATAGATCAGATTGAGTGCATTACCATAGCAACGGCCTTTTGAGAAATTGCTACTACATGATTGTCTAGTGGAATCTTCCAGATTCTAAGTACAAATGTCATTTTTGTTTCTATTTTTTCTTAAACTTAAAAGTAGTCACATAGCAGATGTCCATGGTATTAAAGCATCCTTCTATAGAACCACTCTTTTGTTGTTTTAAATCTATATCAAATTGATATACTAGTTCTATACAATCATGAAAATTTTAAGCAACATTGTAAGCCTGGTTTAACTTAGATCTCAAAATAATTTTTACTTTTTAAACCATGTGCATTAAGCTTGAATGTGATGTAATGGATAATAGCTCAGAATTGTTAATTGGAGAGCTAAGTTCCAATTACAGTTGAATTCATTACCCCTGGGAAAGGTATGAATCCCCTCTTCCCCCCAGTTATGGGTTAATTAGTAAGAATTGTATCACTAAATCATTATTATCACCAAAGAAAAAAATTCTTAGAAACTAAAAATATTTTCTGGCTTTAAATAACCTGCAAAGGGTTGATAATCTGTAGAATATGAATGAATAAATGAATCAAAAAACATCTTTGTTGCCTCAAGTATCTTCTTTAACTGTGAGGAAATTGTTCATAATTCATTGCCATAAAAGAGAATTGATGTTATATACCAGTTCAGCACACTTTTTTTTCTTGCTTAAAATGAAATTTTACTTTGCTTAGCTTTTGGAAGGCATCTTTCGTTATTCCAATGCACCTTCAGAGTTTGGTGTCACATTTTCCATCATGTGTTAAAACTTTTCGTGGATAATTAAAATTCTGTACTTGATTGATTTTGACATATTCAATTCGAAGCTAGCATCCTAGCCTGTTCCTCTAGCTGACAACCATGCATTCTATCTTCTTACAATTGGTAGTTAGTCCCTTCTTCACACTTTTCATTACTACTGGGTTTACATGTACCTGTAGTTTTCTTTCTGTGTCTGCCATCAACATGGAGCCATTTGTGTCTTATATTGCTAAAATTGTGTTTGCCAATAATAAATCCTGGTAGAACTTTTAGCTCCCTCAGGATTGCCTCGTTGTAAAAGGTAAATAAATCTGGTGAGAAGATACATCTTTGTCTTATGCCCTTTTCAATTTTTGTGTACTTATTCAATTCATTTTTTTTTTTGCTTAAAATAAAATTTTATTTTGTTTAGATTTTGGAAAGCATCTATTCTAATACACCTTTGGATTTTGGTGTCACATTTTCTATAGTTTGTTAAATTTCTGTACTTACCTGTTTTTTGAAGGAAAAATGGATACCATATCAAAAATAAAACAATAAGAAAAAAAAGCTATCTATTCAATGCAAAAAATAAAAATCTGTTCATGAGCAATGTCCTGGGTCATTTTTTTGTAGTAATTGTTAATATCTCAAGTCTTTCTTTTCATGGGCTACCATAAGGTCCTCTTCCCAAATTATGCTATGTTCCCTATGGAGTACAGCCTTGAGGTCATATCACCAGTTCTCCTACAATCATCAAAGTTAAGCAACATTGAGCCTGGTCAGTACCTAGATTGGTGACTGCTTGGGAATACCAGGTGCCGGATGTGTAGGTGGTGTGGAATTGTTAATCAGAGAGCTGAGTTCTAATTCCACTCAGGTTCATTATATTAACTTATATTCACTTATTAGGAAAGCTATGAATCCACCTCTTCTCCCCACAAGTATGGATTAATTAGTAAGAGTTTTATCAGTAAAATCATTATTTTCTCCAAATAATTCTTAGAATCTAAAAATATTTTCTGGCTTTAAATAACTTGCAAAAGGTTGATAACCCATAAAAAAACAATCAATCAATAAATAAAAACCTATGAATATACAGTGGGGGTGGGGAACAAATAATGAATATACTGTAGGGGGAAAGAAATTAAAAATTTGTATGTGTATAAATATTTGTTTATCCTCACTGTATATGTTACTTTCCTACCACCATACCACATTTTCCTGTACCTTTTCTTTAAATATTTTCATTGTAATTGTTCCGATGAACTTTCCTCTATGGTACCTAGACTTTATGAATTTAAGCATAGTACTAGATTAGGGCAAGGTCTCAACATCTTACAGTTGAACTGGCTAGATGTAGCCATAAGTTCTATGTTAACAATCTCTTTTATTTCACTTCTTACTTATGGAACTTTCTGCTGGCTTCTTGCTTTCCAGTCAACTTTGATCTACAAAAATTTATAACTCTACCATTCTTCCTTGCTTTGAATATTGCTGCCACATCTGATCTGGTGCTCCTGCTATATATTTAGAGATTCTTGATAAAATCCCCAAAAGAATCTGTAATGTTATTGGTTCTGACCAGGCATCTCGGCTTCAGTCCCTTTCCCACCATGGTATGTAGCTTTATTTTGCCTTTTCTATAAATATTTTCATTGTAATTGTTCTGATGAACTTTCCTCTATAGTAACTAGACTTTATGAATTTAAGCGCAGTACTAGATTAGTGGCAAGGTCTCATCATCTTACAGTTGAACTGGCTAGATGTAACCGTAAGTTCTATGTTAACAATTTCTTTTATATCACTTCTCACTTATGGAACTTTCTGCTGGCTTCTTGCTTTCCAGTCAACTTTGATCTTTAAAAATTTAATTGCAATGTCAATCATTATTTTCTGTCTTCTTAATTCTTGTTCTTTTATTGTTCTCGCATCTTTTTTCTAATATTTTCTAACAGTAATCCCTTGCATCTTAGCGACTTTATTACTTTTCTTGGAGTTGATGGGAACCTTAATGTGAAGATGTATTCTAACTGACCAACTCTTTGACTTTAAAGTCTTTTAATTATCTATGAGATCCAGCTTTGTAATGAGAATTAACAAGACTCATAATCAGTTTCTGAAGATAGCTGATATTAATTTTATATTTTTATGTCACCATGGTTCAAAAAAATTACATGAAGGGATTTTCTTCTTATTGGTTGGGTATCTGCCAATGGAGAGGAATGGAAAACTTAGCAGCACTGGATCACAAAGCAGGGCATAGACAAGATTTCCACATAGGGTCAGCATATATATGGGATGAACACAACTGAGACACTGGAAACACAAACAAGGACAAATGAATTTGAAACGATGCTGGGTAACATGGCACTTTGCCTGCCTTTTCTCGGAAAATGTGCCTGCTTTTATGGAGCCTGAAACTTTAGTGGTTGGCTAGCAAAGGAATCATTTGTATAGCTAACAGTTCCAACTATCTAATAGAGAAGCTGGTAGACACTTTCTTTATAACCAGACATTCTGGGGTTCACAGTGACTCTGTTCTGACAGGGCAGACATGTGATGTTTTTTCTTCAGAGACAGAACACTAAATGTTGTATCATTGACCGATGGGGATAGGTACCATTATCAGTAGCAATTGGCTGCTTTGTCTGCATTTCATTTCCGCTACATTAGCTTGATCAAGAAAAAAAAATGCATTATTGTCCTACAAGGGAAGACTGTTGGTGTTGTTTATTCAAAAGCATTATCAACATAAATAAATAAAATGTTTTTGCATTTTAACAGAACACTGTTTCCAGTCTTATCTTTCATTTTTAAGTATACTCTCATGTAAAACAGGTATTGCCTGGGAAAAAAAAAGAACTTAAGACATAACAACATAGGAAAAGAATATGCTGTTTAACATATTTCTTCTTACCCAACACAACAAATGAAAAAAAGAAAAGATCATTTTAGCATTATTTAGATATGTAAAAATAACTTTTGGTGAAAAAAAATAAAATTTTTAATTCTCTACGATAAGAAAAATAGTTATCTGATAAAAGGTATTTCCACTAAAAAGAATTTTCTGTTTGACACTGACAGAATTTGATTTAAAGAATAACCTGATTAAACCAAGAAATTCTCAGCCCCTTCTTGTATAGGTTGCGATGGATAAATTGTCGTCTAAATTATGCAAAAATGAAAATTATACTGACATCTTGCCTGTAATTTATATATTTACCAAAATTACACAAAAATATTTGAAATAAAAAGATCAAATTTATTGAATAAAATTGCCATTGGCTTCGACTTTGGAATCTCTTGCAACTCTTCTGGACTGTCTCTTTGTTTAAGTTGGTGAATGCTTGTAGGTGTTACAAGGAGTTTTGCTTTAAGGGGTTGGAAGTCTGGGGAGTTAGGTTTGATAAAATATAGGGGGTGAGGTGGTTGCAGAAATTGTCAAAAAGCCATGGCTGGATTTTTTTTGTGAGTTCTGTTGTCAGTATATATTGTCTTCCAACAGTGACTCTCTTGATACCAGTTCTCAGCACGGAAACCTTCTCAAGGCACTTGATGATATATTTTGTGTTGATATGAGGATCATCAACAAATTATGGAGACTTTTTTTTTTTAAAACACTAAAAATGTTCAATTTATATTTCAGATTGTGCCAATCTTTTACAAGCATGTGATTTTCCAAATTCTCTGGTAAAATGCCAAACTTAACAAGCTTTTTGACAAATTCTCTTTTAGAAAATTACAGTACTCTTGAATTTCTAAATTCTCTGTAGAATGTCACTGAAGTACAGCATATGGATTTCCAAATTCTCTGGTAGAAGTGCCAAGCAGTACAGCATGTCATTTCCAAATTCTCTGGTAGAAATGCCAAGCAGTACAGCATGTCGTTTCCAAATTCTCTGGTAGAAATGCCAAGCAGTACAGCATGTCAGTTTCCAAATTCTCTGGTAGAAGTCCCAAGTTTTGTATCATTTTTTTTTTTTTTTTCTCACAACATCTTCCAACTGAGTACTATACTGGTTTGTAAATGTCAAATTCTAAAAAGAAAGTAAGAACACAAAATTTATAATAAAAATTTAAAATCATAAAATTTGTTTTCCAATTTTACTTTGCCATTTATACAAAGATCCTCAAATTCTTTATTTTGTCAGGTACATTCGGGTCGGTTCTGAATTCATCAGATTCGTTTCACAATAGGGTATCATGTTCAGATAGATACGGAATGCCATTGCATAAAGCATTCATCACTAAATTTTTTAAGTATTGCCTTAATTTTACACCTTACCTTTTAAAAGATTAATGATAATCAAACAGTCATCATGTTTCGGAAATAAATTGATTTGAAAGAATTTAAAAAAGTATAAAAGTTTACAAATTTTAGATAAAACAATAATTTTTACAGCATGGATGATTTCAAATTTTTGGTATAATTAATTTCAATTAGTTTCAGAATTCGTTTGTTTTTTGGTTAAATAAATTCAGCATGTCAAAAAATTTTTGACTTTAAATTCCTGTAAAAAATGGAAAAAATGAACAGTTTTGAATGTCGTTTCTCAAAATGGTAATTTTATGTTTTTCTTTTTAACTTTCCAAATTACTGATTAAAGTTTTTTTACAGCTTACAGATTTGTTTTTCAAATTCCTGGTAAGTTGTTAATCTTAAAGTATTTCGTTTTATGAACATTAAATTCTTAACCCTTAATCTTTAGTTGTTTTGTTTTTTAGGAACCAAATTTTTGCAGATTTTTAAAATGAAATTGTGGAATCTGAATTTTAGTTACCTTCTGTCGTTTCATATTAATAAAATCTTGCAAAAATCAGTCGTTAATACCTCTAAAAATTTGCCATGAGATAAACATATTTTCAAATTCTATGAAAACCAGAATTACAATAGTACTGAAAGTTTAAATTTTGAAAAATGGTGACACAGGATATAAAAAATAATATATATTATAAAGAAAAAAAACATTTTAACCTTTAAAGATATAAAATTTCAACTCTTTATTTGTTGAAGCTTATAATAAGCATGGAATAATAATAATACAACACAAAATGTACGTTAACAAAATGTATTGAAACAAGAAAAAAGGTACACAATATTTACAGTTAGTTTTGGTATATTCTTGGGAAGACTGTTCCTGCATAATGGGTTGACTAAATCGCAGTCGGGCAGAGTCTCTGGATTCAATTTCTTAATCTTACTATCTTCCCGTCTTCCGGTACCAACCCATATTTATATGGTCGGTACTCCACTATATAAATTAGGTGTATCATTTACAACAATATACTTTATATATATTTATATAATATATAATCACCTTTTGTAACAAAATATAGAAAAAAGTCATTTCAGGCTGTCAGTGTAAATAAGTCCTGAAAAAAAAATTTATCAAGACAATACATAATTGGCAATAAAAATGAAAAATGATAAAGTTGAAAAAACACATCAATTTTATTTTAAACATTCAAACTATGAGAACAGTAATTTATGTTTATGAAGTTATGAATTAAATTATGCATTGTCTTTTAATTGTTTTCATAGTTTGAATATAAACTTTTTGCAATTATTTTTGGGAAAGTTAAAATTTTTTTTTGTTAGGATGAGATCTGGCCTGGAATGTTTGAAGAATCTACATAATAACTGAGTTGATTTCAAAAAAAAAATCTTCTATCACTGAATATAACATGAAAAAAATCACACAGTGACTTCTTTAAATAATTTAAATTTAAATTTAATTTCTACTTTATATTACAAAATTCAAATTTCTCTCTGTCCTAATATATTCTATATATTTATATATTATATTTTATATATAATAAAAA